GGTCGCGGCTGTACAACGGGGTGAGCGGGGTGCTGGTGTGCGCGTCCATGGGTGACAGGGCGCCGGCGCCGGCGCGTGCGGTGCGTAGGAGGAGGAGAGGAGAGAGTGCGGCGTGAGCGCTCGAGTGTGCCGCGCGCGGAAGCGGGCGCCCGAAATACACCGTGCGGGATAGTGCTTCCGACCGCGCGTCCAACTCGTTATAGCGCACGTGCCGTTTTTGCGCGCCCGCTGGAGCGACCCGCAGCGTTGCGCGCGCGCTAAAACTGCCTTATTTACGGTGTGGCGCTAGTTTAGCGCGGCTGTTGGAGATGCTCTAACTTCCTTATTTTGAGTGTCTTATATCATTGGAAGTCCTTCTATGTAAATCCAGTCCCTTATATCCCCAAAATGAAATTGGACGAGTAGTTCCACATCATCTGTGTTAGAAGGGAGAGAGAGGGATTATGGCGGAATATGATGGATGTATTATTGAGCCTCGAGGGCGAGTATATATTGAGTACAAGACTTAGAGGGCAAGATGCCTCTCCTGGAGATAAGGTAGGAGACGGATTACAAATCCTAGACTACCAAATACATGTATCCCAAATATATCTCTAACATCCCCCTGCAGTCGTAGCGATAGCGTTGCGAACAACAGGAGCGTCGCGGACGGTCAGACTGGAGAGAGTAGCAGCCGACAGGCTGACATCCCCCCGCAGTCGTAGCGGGATCGTCGTGGACAGTGTCGCGTCGCGGACGCGTTGACTGTAAAGGAAGCCGACGAGTTACTCAAGCGGATGATAACCCTTTGTGCCGATGTCGACATAGCCGAGAGCGTAGGGTGGTGTAGCTGTGGTCGAGGTAGTCATGCGAAGAACGCCGTGGTCGATGTCGAGTCGGGGTAGCCGGTGTCGAGGGAGTCTCCGTGGAGCCGCGGGCGCAAGGAGGCGCCGAGTTTGTCATGGGCGCAGTGGTGTCGAAGAAGTGGTGCGCCGGGAAGGAGAATGGTGTTGACGACGCGTCGCGCCGGGGTTGCCAACCCCGAGGACACATCGTAGACGAAGGCACACGCCGGTGTTGCCAGCACAAGGCATGCGTAGACGGAGGAAGGCGAAGTTGACGAAGCGCCGCACCAGGCTTGCCAGGCCCGGGGACACGTCGTGGACGAAGGCACGCAACGGTGTTGCCGGCACCAGACATGCGTAGACTGGGACCTGCACGAGCTGTACGCCATGTCGAAGAAGTCGGAGAGGCCAGTAGAGAAGGACTCGACGACGGTTGCGGCGCCAATCGGCGCGGGGCCAATGTCACCTGCGGTTGTTGGAGTAGATGAAGCGGTCGGGGTAGATGACGGCGACGCTGACGACGGGCTGGTGCTGGACGAAGACGAATGGGGTGGACGGGCGGCGACGGCGGCTACGGAGGTAGCAGCGACAGGGGCCAAAGAAGAGCGGCGACGGCGGCCTAACGGTGGCAACGGCGGCTAGGGTTGGAGTGCGGCGGCGGTGCTCGAAATAGGCGAAGAACCCTGACAGCATGACGAAGACCGGCGCAGACGGTGGCGTTCCTGTGCCAAGGGAGACGGCGCGGCGCATACCACAGGAGGTCGACGTGCGGTGACGGAGAAGTGGACCGCATGCCGCGATGCTACGGACCGAAGGGACGACGTATTGGCGGCGGGCAGGTCGGGGCGACGGCGGGAAGACCTCGGGGCGGCGGCGGGGACCGCGGGCTGCGACGCTGTGGCCCGAAGGGGCGACGCAACGACGGTTCGCGAGTTGGTGCAGCCGCGGGGACGGCCTCGGGGCGGCGGCGGGGACCGCGTATCGTGACACTGCGGCCCGAAGGGGCGACGCAGCGACGACGCACGAGTCGATGCAGCCGCGAGGAGAACCACGGGGCGGTGGCGCTGCGGCCCGACGGGGCGACGCAGCGGCAGCCCGATGCTCGATCGGTGAAGAGGCACGCTGAACTCGGGGACGATCTTCACGGGACCTGCGGAGGCGTGCGTAACCGACGGGCCAGGTCGGTCGCGCGGCGTAGATGAGGTGGATCGCGGTGGTGAGTGGGTGATCAAGCCGATCGCGCGCGAGGTCGGGGACGCCGCTCAGTGGAGAGTGGTGGCGGCGGAGTCCGGGATGAGGCCGGTGACGGCGGGCGGCATGGCAGCTATGATTGGCCGCCGCATGACGTGAGGCCGCCGGGTCGGGGTGATGCAGGAGTCCCGGTCGGAGCAGGGCGGTGACGGCCGACGTAGATCGACGGGCAGGCCGGCGCGCGAACGACGGCGGTGAAGGGCCGCCGCATGACGAGAGGCCGCCGGGTCGGGGCGACCGGCGGGCAGACGCGCGGACGACGCGCGAGGCCGCTGGTCGGTGAAGACGCCGGTGTAGTCAATGCCGAAGTCGGAGTAGAGGCGCACGGGGTCGACGGCGGCGGCGGGCGACGCAAACCGATCAAGCAGATCAGAAAACCAAAAAGAAAAACACCGATCAAAGCGACCGGCGAGAGAGCAAAAAAAAAACCCGGAGGAAAGGCTCAGGAAAAAGACTCTCTAGGGCAGCCGGTCAACACGGCCGGCGGACGAACCCTATGTACGGGCGGCGCGGCCCCCGGCGGCGGTCATGGAGGCCGACCGCCCCGGGGGCGGCACGCGGGTGCGGAAGCGGCGGCGCTAGGGTTTGGATCGTGATTAGGCTGATACCATGTTAGAAGGGAGAGAGAGGGATTATGACGGAATATGATGGATGTATTATTGAGCCTCGAGGGCGAGTATATATTGAGTACAAGACTTAGAGGGCAAGATACCTCTCCTGGAGATAAGGTAGGAGACGGATTACAAATCCTAGACTACCAAATACATGTATCCCAAATATATCTCTAACAATCTGTATCAGTGTATCATACATCAAACAATGCGTATCTTGTTTTTTTCCTTTTTTTTCTCTTTTTGCGGGGAATCCTACAATGCTTGTCATGCATACGTAGTGTCACAACGGGAAATCAAGACCATGCCATGGCCAAACTGAGAATGGCTTGGTGGAAATACAAAAATTGGTACGCAAGATTGGCAAGACATCAAGTTCCTACAGAGACATATAACAGATATCACAGGGTGAGATTTACTAATTATCATTCCTGACTGTCTTCACATTTTAACCCTGAACTTGCTTCTCAAGATAAGAGAGAGACAACTCTTTTCACTAAACCCTCTCTCACGCGTCCAAATTCTTTTCAGGTTGCCCTGCTACAGAACACCGCAAAATCAATCCATTACATATTCATTCAAACAATGCTCATGGGACTAAAAAAAGATACAGTACTGAATTCTTACCATGGGAGTTTGCGGATATGATGTATACCATCACATCTGCCTTTGCAGTTGTGCCTGGTGGTGCTGGTCCTCTCCCTGAATCCCTCGACAAGTTCCTCCCTCGAAGCGGCTCTACACCGTCCCCAAGCTCCACTGCCTCGGCACCTAAAAAGAAGCGCAGCGGCAACCGATCCTCATCTGCGAAAGAGCCCGAGGGTGTGGTGGGACTGCTCGGGGCGGCTGACGGCATTAGGCTAGGTTCAGCAGCACTGGCGGCGCGAGAGCATCAGGACAGCCAGGGAGGGTCGGCGTCGGCACACATGGTCTCTGGCGTGACATCATCAGCCAGGGAGGGTCGGCGTCGGCACACATGGGCTCTGGCGTGACAGAGCGGCAAGGCAGGAGTGCAGGCGGTTGGGTAACTTTCCTTGGCGTCAATTAGCTGAAAAATACAGAGGATCCTCTACCCAACCACAAATATAGAGGATGACATGCTTGTTTTAGAAGCTCCTCTGAAAATTTTAGGGACAGAGAACCATACAGAGGATTTGTTAGAGTGGATGTCAGAGGAAATAAGAAGTCGTACGAGTAGCTTATTTTGGGGACAAAGTTCTGCTACATGAGCATCAGTAGCGGCGATACATGTTTATCAGTTCAACAACACACCTGGGAAGTAAGCAACTACCCCTACACTTCAACAGCAGGCTGTTCTTTAAACTTCCAATACCCCACAACCTGCATGCGAACTGCAGCATCTGCGAAAGGCCTCCCAAGCATCTGGTTAAACCAAACATTTGTAGCCGAAGCTTCAAGGATGTGAGATGTAGACCAAAGCCATGCGCCAAATTCAGCCATCCTGATCATCCATATAATGCTAACACTGCAAATTAGTACTATATGTTTCATCGCAGGACATGAACATCACTTGACAGGCCACCACCATCTCCTAGTTAGAAGAGGCGGTGTAAGGATGTCAATCATCGTCTCCTTCTCCCTTGGAGTCAGGGGAACCCCTCGGACAAGGTTCAGAGCCATAATGTGAACGTTAGTCCTTTGCCTATGCTTTTGGTAAGCCCAGACACCAGCTGCAACCCCACCCACAATGACCTGCATAATTTACTATGTCAGGTTTTGAACTACCTACCCTAGAATCCCAGTTGTACATGAAATGTTTAAATTAGGGAATTAGATACTTAAATAATTTGAAGTGTTCAATTGTATCATGTTCTGCTGCAGATTTTAATTTTATTTTACTAAGCACGAATAAATGCAGTTCAAAGAAGCATCACTGTCTGACTGTCTCTATACGGAAGTCGAGATACAACAAGGGATTAGCTAGAAACCTGGAATCCTCAGTTATCGATTAGCTTCTTTAGAAATTCAGATATTTTTACATCCATAAGTGCAAATTCACCCAATAATTAGGAAAGAGAATCATCAGCATTTGTGTTAATGCTGCCTATTACTTATGAACAACATCTTGACGCAAAAGTTTGTGATAATACATGGGTTCACCAGGGTCCAGGGTACACAATGCATGCATGAAACGAACAAATAATGTGCTAAGAAGTGCAAGTAATATTACTTCTAGTACAATAAAAGCATGAATAGCATGCTAAATTTGCAATTAGGCTCACCGGCGATAACCATATAGCGGCAGTTTGAATATCAAATTTAGGGGCATATAGAACTGTTTCTCCAAAGTTGTCTTCTAATTTTTTGTATATCTCCTTATCACTCTTGCCAGATTTTATTTCATCGCGAATTAGCTGCAAGAAAATTACACAGATGTGATTACCTGAGCCATGAAGCTTCCATGACATACTGCGTGTCTGGCAATAATATTTCAATCGTTTAAAGCATATAGAATTAGTACATTTATTTATGTCAAGAACTCAAGATTAGATTTTGCATGTATACATGGTGCATGGGGTAAATAAATGCTTGTGCACCAGACAAGGGTGTTCCAGTGCACCAATAGATAATGTAAATTTAAGATAGCTGAAAAGGCCCAGTGCAAGAATATTATCAAAGTCTTAGAAACACTCAGTAAAAAAAACATAAATGTATAATCCAAGAACGAAACCAGCTGTGGCATTACCAAGATCATTGTTGCATTCAAAAAGGGCATGTATGAATTGCTATCTCCGCATTTTTTATCTTAAAAAAACTGTTGACGAATAATTCATGTGTAGCAAACAGGTTCCATATGAATCGACCACATGGATTAAATAATCAACTCTAATTGCAACTAATGAGCTCCAGACTGACTTGTAGGCATGAACTGCAACCTACATTTTTTATGTTCAATTAAATTGTTGCTGGTAATAAATCAACAGTTGAGTAACCATAATATTGGCTTGAACTGATACCAACAAAGTACTACTCCCTCCGTCCGAAAAAGCTTGTTCCAAGCTTGTCTCTCAAATGGATGTATCTACCACTAACTTGGTGCTAGATACATCCATTTGAGGGACAAACTTTTTCAGACGGAGGGAGTAACTTCTAAGTTGTACACAAATTGACCACCTGGTCATCTCTCGATGGCCTAACTTTGGTTTGCTATTGGCTTTAACTAATACCAACAAAGTACTAACTTCTAAACTGTACACAAATTGACCACCTGGTCATCTCTCGATGGCCCAACTTTGGTTTGCTTTTTGGTCCTGTGCAACCTTTCATGTGCATGCCGTGCAATGAAACTACAGCTCATAGAGGCATACCATGTGTATTTCTATAGCAAAAGGGCACAACGAAAACTTACTGTATTTTTGGCTCCCGAATGGAATATCAGAAAACAGTAAACAAATGTGAATGCTGGAAAAAAGACCACCATTTGGGTATTGATTTTAATCACTTTATAAAGCCATGAAATCGCTTCGAAACTACTGATGTGGGACTAAAATATTTGCAGTGCCGCTGTAGTACAGTCGTTCACTTACCGGAGCGGCCGCCGGCCAGTGACTCCCTCCGCTTCTGCTGTTCGGCCTCGCCGCAAGAGAATACTGGAGTTCAACCCCCTATCCGATGTGTGCGCCTCCCTCCTCCACTCAGGTGGCCGGCGATGCTCCCGTCTCCGGCGCCAAGACAAACTAGTCCCCTGTCGACCACTCCGCGGTGGCCCGACGGAGGGAAACCCCTGTTCTCTATTTTTTGACGGAAAAAACCCAGTTCTCTATTTTCTGGCGGTGGGGAATGTTGGGTGCACGCCGGCGGCGTTGCTCCGATCGGGGGTCGGGATCGGGGGAAGGGGGAGGAGACGAGGAAGAGGAGCGTAGCAGGTAGACATGGGCTGCCCATGCCCGCACCCACGACCAAGCCCACAAAATTGCCCTCGTGTAGCATCAAAAAACTGTGGGACTTGCGGGCCTTCCCACATGGGCGCGACTATGCTACCAGAGCCCGTGATGGATTGGCGACCCTAACGTCACGCTAATTTTCCTTTTTCTTTCCCCTTTATTTTTTATTTTTAATATAAATGAATATATTTTAAAAACATAAATTTCCTTATATTTTATTAAAATCCCAAAATTATAAAAATGTTAAGATAGTATAAAAGATCTGTTAACGCCACTTCAAAAAATGTTGTTAGCTTTTCCAAAAATGTTCACGACAATATAAAGATGTTCCTGCATTTCAAAAGATGTATGTGAAACTTCAGTAAAAATTTGTATACAATGTAAAAAGAGATTATTTTCATAATATAAAAAAAATATCATAAAACAAAGAAAATGTATGTAATATTTTAAAGAAATATTCCCGTGTTTCAAAAAAAACATTCATGGTATTTCAAATTTGGTTATAGAAATGTAAAGTATGTTCATGTACGTTAAAAATGCTTATTGGCATTTAAAAATATACTCCCTCCGTTCCTAAATATAAGGTGTATTAGTTTTTCAAAAAGCCAACTGTTGTCTATGTTTGACCAACTTTACAGAAAAATATATAAAGATTTATAATACTAAATATATAAAATGTAAAAATATAGTCCATGATGAATCTAGTGATAATGATTTGGTATTCTAGATACTGATATTTTTGTCTATAAACTTGGTCAAACTTAGAGAAGTTTGACTTTTTGAAAAAATAATACACCTTATATTGAGGAATGGAGGGAGTACGTAATATTTAAAAAATCTCGCATTTAAAAAACCATGAAATTAAAAAAATGTTTTATACAGTGTTAAAAACATGTTCGCATGGTTTCAAAAAATTATTTATTGCCATTAAAAAATGTACCAACGCATATTTTGAAAAATATTACCTTGTATCCAAAAAAGTGTTCAAAAAAGGGATTGAAAGATAATGGCAATCACGTATGTGAAAATTGTTAAATGTGTATAATTTTTTTCACAAGTATACAAAAAATGTACATTGTGTATGAACAAGAATGAACATCAAAACATGTCAAAGGAAACGTCAATCATGTATGTGAAAAATGCAAAACATGTATAAAAATAGTGTTTTGCGGGTATAGAAAAAATGTACAATGTATATGAAAAAGAATAGACATCAAAACATATATTTCAAGAAATTGCTAATCATGTATTTGAAAATGCTAAATGTGTATAAAAATAATGTTTCAGATGTGTACAAAAAATGTACAGTGTGTATGAAAAAAGTGGACATTAAAACATGTATTTGAAAAAAGTTAAACATGTATAAAAATATGCTCCAAATGTATAAAAAAAATTATATTACGTGTGATAATAGATAGACATGTTGTGAAAAAAAAGAAAAAACAGTGAAAATGTAACAAATAAAACTGATAAAAACAAGGAAAAGGAAAGGAAAACAATTTAAAAAAAATGAAAATTGAAATAAGACCACTGCAAAACAAAAGAAATGGTGAAAACCGGAGAAACAAATGAAAACCAAAGAAGCCCAAAAAACCCATAAAAGATAGCAAAACCAGTGAAAACCGAGAAAGAAAGGAAGAAAACCGGTGGAAAAACAAAGAAAAACAAAACACTAAGAAAAACAGTGAAGAAATAAAAGAAACCCTGGAGAAAACTGGGCCAAAATCGGTACAACGACCGAAGAAACCACTCGCGAGCGAGCTTCTTCCATCGAAAACGTAGCAAACAGAAAAATCAGACTAAATGTGACAACCCAGTATCCTAGTATCCTCTCGTGGGAGAATAACCTGCAGTGAAACGGACGCTACTCTCGCTATAAGCGAGATATAGTTCTCGCATTTCCACATAACCCACTTATACGGGCACAACCTTCGGCCATGAAGAAGCCATGGCGGTGGTGACCATGGCTCCTTCATGGTCGAAGGCTGTGCCCGTATCTCCCGACACACATTAGTCGGTCGTTCGCATGCCTTCCACGCATGACGGTAGTCCTGGCCATCTCAGGCCCGGCCCTGTCGTCCCACCCAGGCCTGGCCCTAAAATCCAAGGCCTAGGCCCGATGGGCTTGCCCGTGGGCCAGGCTAGGGCCTGAGTTTTGAGCCCACCAGCAGGGCCTGTACGGGCTTGGGCTTGGCATACCAGCATTTTAAGGAAGAGGCCCGGCCCATGGCCCTAAGCCCTAAGGGCTTTTCAGGGCTTTTTACCAGATGGGTCGGGCTTGGGCTTGAAAAGTAGACCCGATGGTAGGGCCTGGGAGGGCCCGGGCCTCAGTTTTTTGCCATGGGCTTTTTTAGGCCCGGCCCAAGCCCGGCCCGGCCCGGCCCATGGCCAGATATACGTGACGGCCATTCTTTCTTCATGGTCGAGGATGGCATTCATAGCACTCGCATAGCGGTCGGTTACCCATCTGCAACGATTTGTGGCAATAGTACCTTGCTCCTCCCATTTCTGCCTGTGCTTGATTCCTTCTTGTATGTTCCATCGTTTCTTGCTCAAGTTTTGAGTCCCGATTTGTTCCTCCCAGAAAATATTGGTCCTCTTCGGTCATGAACGAGGACCGAACTGACTTCTCAGTGCAAAAAACAATTGGTTTTGCATTTATCGATTAACCGATCAGGCATCTCATATATGAAGGAACCAAAGTTATTTATTACTTGAAGAATCGAAACGGCTAGTTCGGTTAGACCGAACGCCCAGTCTAACCAAAATCCTATGCAATGACCATAAAAATCCCATGCGATGACCAAAGGGACC